AAAGCCACAAATATGTAGTGCTAGTCTGCTAGAGATAGTATAGCTGGGAAGAGCTGAGATTGACCATGAAATTCAGTTTACTCACCTGACTAGCAGATATCCTCAGCAAACCTCTCCTAATCCTGGAATCAACACTCTCCGAGACCCTCATCTGAACCCTCATTAGCTCACCTACGGTCATGGGCTTCTTGGGCCTACCCCCTGAGCCCGGACTACCATCAGCCCGCTTGGAGTTCGAAATGGAGCTGGATCGGAGGCCCAAAGCCTTCTTCATTTTGGAAGCGGCAGTAGAAGTGATGGATCTCTGCAACAACGGCGAAGAAGACGAATTGGAGTTCAACGAATGCGACGGCGACTGAGATCCATCCGCCGAGGACGGAATGTAGTTGAGAGCCTTCCCGGTCGAGGTGCGGCACGCCGCGACGAAGATCTCGTACGCCGTTTCGCGGAGGTCGTCGGCGGTGATCGTCGGAGTTAGGTCTCCGAACGGAGAAGGAAGCGGTGACAGAGCGGCGCTGGCGGAAACTGCGGCGCCGCCGACGGAGAAGCGGGAGCTGGCGGAGGATATAATAGCTGCAGCGGCAGCTGAGGCAGTGGAGGAGAACGATTCTCTCCTGGAATGCCCAATCGCTCGATCCCTGAAGAGAGACGCCATTAGAGATAGTGAGAGATTTTACAGTGATTTTGATGATTTCTGCGGAAGAAGAAGGAGAAAGAGGAAAGTGTCTCATTCGGGAATTTCCATTTTTCTGTTGTTGATAAAATTTGTTTTCTTTTTTATTTCTAATTTTATTTCTTCCGGAAATTCCAAAAGATTAACGTGGGGGGCCCACGCGGTTGATAATCGTTGCCATTTCGTTTTTGTACAGCTTGCACTTCCAGCGAAATCTCTCCAATAGTACACTAATCATTTTCCACTAATCATAATAACATCAAAAAAAATATACTCGGCACTCCCTAATAACAACAACATCAATAATACTCTTTCCTCTTCTAACAACCTTTATACTTTAACCTTTTTTTATTTATCAAATTTTAAAACTTTCATTACAAATAAATATAAAGAATGATACATTTAGTAATAATTTATTTTGAGATATACTTTTAACATATTAATTTTTATGCTCCGTAACATTTATTTATTTAAAAATTATCCAATAATGCTCACCCCAATCTTTCATTTATTTATAGTCATAATCTCATTTGATCAAAATAGTCAAAATGCGAAGATTTTCAGGAGATGAGTGGACTCTGTTCAAGTAATAATACTCACTCCGTACTAAAACTTTTTTACCTTTTGACTTTCGAGTTAAATTACAAATCTTAATTATAATTTTTGAAAAAAAAACATACTTTGAATATTCTATTTGTTACAAGTAAAAACTTCACAAATAATAATAATATGACCAAACATTCTCTACATTATTTCCCTATTTTCGTGACTAGTTGTTAAAATTAAATAATCGTGTTACCTCTTATTTTGTTAAACTTTTAAATTGAGTAATTATCTAAATAGTCTCTAATTGCAGGTGATTTTTCATATTTTGTTTTCAATTCCAAGATATTACGTATAATTTGTTCTCAATTTTTATAACGATTCTCACTTTGTAGAATAATTTTTAAAAATTAAAAACTATTTATGTAATATCTTACAATTATGGACTAAAAGAAGAATGAAAAATGGGATGGAACTCTCAAGAAGAATGAAATCACGGTCTACTAAAAAATGAAGCATAAAATCCAAATTAAATTTTAGAATAATTCTATAATTAGTCCTTTATAATAGAGAATTTTCATATTTAGTCATCTATATATAATTAAATATAACTCATGTGGTTTTTCTTTTATGGGCATCTTTTCACAAATAGTTCTTTTTTTACCTTTTATCATGTTGGTTTTAATTTGAAGACTAAAAATATAATTTGACATTAACCTTATGTCTAGTGACGTATCCTGATGTCAGTTAGACGGATAACGCAACAATAATAACTATGATTGTGAATAATTATGATTTCGACGAAAAACTACATCTGTAAATTATGGTTGCAGTAGAAAGCGATTGCAATTCACAAACAACGCATCTAGAGCGGTTTTTGGAAATGTATATGACAAGAAAGATTTAATTTATAATCATTATTAAATTATAGTTTTAGCTATTAAATTAATACCAAGATGACTGAAGATAAAAAGGGATTATTCATGAAAAGATATTAAAAAAAGGACCACCATAACAATGTTTGATAAAATAATAATTTGTTACTGGTCATTTTTTATTTATTTAAATGTGACACATCATCGTGTGACATTGGATCTATTTCTTCGTGCCATTATGCACTAATTAACACCAAAATACTCCGTATAATGCAATTATGCAACTTATGGTGAATTGAACTTAGATACCAAGTCACAAAACGGCATGCAATGAATCGAGCAGTAATAAACATTGTTCACATTAAAAAGTTACACCATATATATAATTAAAGTTCAATTATAAACCTCGAAAACCCATATAAAGCATTTTCTATTACTTTTTTAAAAACCAAAGAAAAACAACGAACACAAGAAAATGGCGTGGCCGGGCAACGTCGTCCTAGCGGCTTTGGTCATTTCCCTAGCGCTCCACCACGGCGGCGCTCAGCCGCAACCCGGCGGCCCGACGACGGGCCGGCCGGCGGCGAGCCCCGAACACAAGAGCCAACAGCAGTGGTACATGGACTCGCTGCCGAAGAACGTGACGGAGTTCCTGGACAACTGCACGGACCACATGTCGGTGGACTGCGCCACTGAGGTGATCAGCGCCATGCTCCTCCGCCGCGACGTCTCCGACGTGTGCTGCGGCGACCTCGTCCTCATGGGGATCGAGTGCCACTCCTCCCTGGTGAAGCTCTTCATCCACTCGCCGGACCAGAAGGCCAACGCGCCGCTCATCATCGCCAATAGCCAGCGCGTGTTTGACTATTGCACCGTCGTCGACCGCAAGCGCCGCTACCCCACGGAGGTTGGATTTTAGTTCGTAGGTTTTGTTGACCCACTCAAGTCAAGAACAAAAAAAAATGTATATTCTCGGATATAATAAAATGAAAGTGATTTGCCTTCAAAAAACAAAAATGAAAGTGATTTTTTTTTTTAAAGAATGAAATGGAATTTATAATTCTACTTCCTCACTCTCAAAATGGAATGGTTTAATTTTGTTGACAATATTTGACCAAACTAGTTTTAATTTTATTTATTTTAAAATTAAGAAAAATTATTCAAAATAATCTCAACTTTGTCTGGTCTTTTAAAAAAAATTCACATTTTCTTGTGATGCATCATAATTCTAACTATATGGAAAACTGCGAGTTTTAGATCGCTGTTAAGTTGCTAATGATGAGTTAACGGGGATGCTTGTTTTCTGCAACAAAAATTAAAATTAATTTTTTTTAATGAATTTTGTTTTTTAAATTTTTAAAATGTCGTTCTACGTCTATTTCTTTTTTAAAGATCAATCTTACCTTAGAAAAAATAAAAAAGAAATATAAAAAATAATAAAAATGAGAAAAATAACTAAAACTATACAAAATTAACAAAATAATTAAGATAATCAATAGAAATTAAACTAATAAAACTGATAAGAAATAAAATAAATATATATGGAATGGTGGGTTCTTACATTTTACGCACTATATGAAGTATTAATGTACTAGTTCTTATTTAGAAAAACAGATAAAGTTGGAATTATTCTAGATTTTTTTCTAAGAATAGAAGTGACACATTAATACTTTGCATATTGTGTAAAATGTTAAAATCTACCAAGCCGTATATTTTTTTTTATTTCTCACCAGTTCCAATTTAGTTTCTATTGATTATCTTATTTATTTCATTAATTTTATATCATTTTAGTTATTTTTCTAATCTTTGTTGGTTTTTATATCTATTTTTTTTATTTTTTCTAAAGTAAGACTAATCTTTAAAAAAGAAAAAGAAATGATGGAGGTAGAAAGTAATTTTAAAAATTGAGATGAAAATTTCAAAAAAATAACAAAAAACAAAAATTCATCGAAAATAATCTAATAAACTTTCATTTTATTGCGTAAAACAAGACGATTCCGTTAACTCGTCGTTAGCAACTTAATGGCAACCCAAAACTCACAAATTATAGTAAAGTTAAGATTATTATGCAACACAGTAAAAAATGAAATTATTTTTAAATGTACAATTAAATGCAAGGAATGCTTATTAGAACTTAGTCTACATTTTACAAACTTAAAAAAAAGAATGATAACAAAATAGATTTTCGAATGCTTGTTAATATTTTTATATTTATCTACAAAAAATAAAACTCGAATAAAAGTATAAGTCACAATAATATCATTTGAACCAAATTTTTAAAATGAATTTATTATTTAATGAAAAAATATAAAAAACTTATTATTTAAAACAAAAACCCCCAAGCCCTGAAATTTTTCTTACGTATTTCGTTTAGTATAAAATACAATGATATTTTTCATTGTCAATGTTTATTGTTCGGACGTATAATACCTCAAAGCGGCTCAAAGTAAATTAGAGATTTCGTATCCTTGACTTGTCCTTGTTCACTTTGTGTTTGTCCTCTTTAAACGTTCGTTTTATCTTGTCCTTGTTCACTTTGTGCTTGTCCTCTTTAAATGTTCGTTTTATTTCTAATTTAATGTAAGGTTCGTTTGTTAAACAAAATTGATGAAATTAGAATTGAATTGGATGAAATTGAATTCGCTAATTTCAATTCATTTTGGCACACTATAAGTTCTAAATTCACATTTTTTGTCATATCCTCAATTACCTACCTAATAAAACTTTATCTTCCTCAATCTAAACATACCTAAGTTTTAACCCTTGTATGGAAACATCATTTTTTATTAGCATTAATGTTTTGAATAAAATTTTAATGATATAAATTAATTCTAAAAATGTAAGGACTAGTACCTTATTCAAAAATGTAAGGACTCCGTGGTTTTAAGAGAATAAGAGGACTTGCGAATAGACACCGTGTTGGCCTCTTCTTCTTCATTTTCAATCTCTATGCGTATAGGTTTTTTTTCTTATCGATAGCAGAGATTCGGGCTATTGAATTGAAAACACAGGTATGAGCTAAGAGGGCAGAGGAAGAAGAGGCATGTGTAGAAGACTTTACTGATCGAGTTAAAGGGAATCAAAGGGAGGAGTTAAGGTTTATTTGACATTTTGCATTTTGGTTCACTCCGAGTTCAGCGCGCCGAAGATCATGTTTGCAATCTACAGAAACTCGCGTCGTCATTGTTCAACATCCATTTCAAACATTTCCGAAGTTTGCAGGTAGATTTCCCCTTTTCTCAAAGATCCCTGCTTTATTTTGGCATTCTAGCCCCTAGGGTTTGGCGCATTATAGTCTCACTGTACTTAATTTGAGATTGGTATACTTGATTGTGTGATGGTTCACTTTATGAAGGAAATCTCTGCTCTGTTCTAGTGTTTTGGTTGATGGTGATCTCAGTCTGTTATATTTGGAAAGGAAAACATTGTCCCCACGTGTAATCGGTCCTGTAGTGGAATCGACGTGGAATTGCTTCCAGCCATTGAAATTCTTTCCTGAATTCTCCTATGAATTTCATAGATCATTCAGTTCTCACCACAAGCGTTTAGATGCCAAACAAAGTGACGTTTCACTTGTGCTGAGGACGGATAAAGATGTGGTGAGATTTTCTGTTGGTGAAGATAAGGAGAATGATGGGTCACTTGGAAAAGCTAAGAAAACAGTGAAAAAGTTTAAAATGTCTAAAAGAGCGAAAGTGAATGAACTTAGGTTTTACAGGTTGAAGGCGAAGAAGAAAATGAAATCACCGAATCCCGAAGTTAGAATAAGATACAAGCTTGATAAGGTTGGTGGTAGCTGATCTTATAGATGTCCCAATAACTCAATTTTACCATGGCTTTGATTTTGTTACTAGGTCATCACTGACTATCTGTGAATTGTATGTTAGGCTAAACGGAAGGAGGTTTGGTTGATAGAGAAACTGAGAAAATTTGAGGCTCCCAATGCTCTAGCTGAACCACATGATCCTGAAATTTTGACCGAAGACGACCGCTTTTACTTGAAGCGCATTGGCGAGAAAAAGAAAAATTATGTACTTGTTGGAAGACGAGGCGTGTTTGGAGGTGTAGTATTAAACATGCATCTTCATTGGAAAAATCATGAGACGGTGAAGGTTGTATGCAAGCCTTGCAAGCCTGGGCAAGTTCACGAATATGCTGCAGAGCTAGCACGTTTGAGCCAAGGCATTGTTATCGACATTAACCCTGACAATTCAATCATATTTTATCGAGGAAGGAATTATATCCAACCTCATGTTTTGTCACCTCGAGATACTCTTTCCAAGGCAAAGGTAGTGTTGGTTTTCTCAATTCTTATATTTCAAAATTTGAACTGGTTTTTTGTTCTGGTCTCAGCAATTCTATGTAATGAACTCCCCATCTGTTTGCGTGCAGGCATTGGAGAAGTACAAGTTGGGACAGTCACTCGATCATACAAGTCAGTTTATTGAGAAATTAGAGAAAGAACTAGAAGAGTACCACGAATACCTTGATAAGAAAAGGGAAAGAGATGCTTTGACGAGTTTGGATGCGAATGTTTAACGGTATCATATAGTTAGCATGCTAAAAGTCAGTAATTTATTCATCGCCGTTTCAATGAGTCATTTATATTTTTTCTTAGATTGCCTCAGAGATACGTAACATGTCAAGGTCCCGTATATTAGCTAGAAAAGTTGTCTCCTTAACAGGAAGACAGAAAACATGCTTAATTCTTTTGTTCTCAAAATTCAGAAAGCATGTTTATTTTACTATTTTTTTTTAAATTTAGAAATGTGAGAACTGTAAAATTATTGCTTTTTCTAGTTTTCATGTGTACTATGCCGTTTAAACGAGTCATTTATCTTTTTTCTTAGATTGCCTCAGAGATATGTAAAATGTTAAGGTCCCGTATACTAGCCAGAAAAGTTGTCTCCCTAACAAGAAAACAGAAATCATGCTTAATTCTTTTGTTCTCAAAATTCAGAAAGCATGTTTATTTTACTATTTGTTTTTAATTTAGAAATGCGAAAACTGCTGTGAAATTATCACATTTCCTGGTTTTCATGTGTACTATGTTTTACATAAAAAAATATTGTGCATTTAACTTAATTCTTGTGCTTTATTATACAGAGTATTAACTTTATTTAATTTTTTAAAAAGAGTTTCATAGGTTTCAGGTTTGGATCCTGTGTGGAAGAAGACTGAAATTTTTGTGGGTTCAAAGACAGTGACTCAGGTAAGCATATTATCTCTTATAGGCAGTTAGAGATTCTCTTTTCCTATTATTCTTGCATCAATGCATTTTTTTGTTGTTGCAAATATCAATTGCTTCCCAAATGTATTATGAAGTACATGCTTAGCTTTCATCGCTAAGTAAAGGCAGGGAATAATGAATAGTTATTAAACTTACAATAACTAACTTAGATACATTATTTCATACCAAAGTGTTATGGATTTATAAAAAAACAGAGTAATAATGTTTATAGTGTGTTAACATAAAATGCAATATACAAACAAAACAAGAAGGAATGGGCTTTTCAGTTTAAGGAAAAGAGTCTAAGTTTCAACTAATCCTTTGGTTGCTTGAAAAAATAAAGTATCTGAGTGACAAATGTTGATGCAAGTTTCCTATAACTTAAAACAGCTGTTCACCTTGAGAAGAGAATGGGCTTTTCTGTCCAAGGAAAAGAGTTCAACTGTACCTCAAAAGTAATGCCTTAAACAGAATTCCATATCACAAGATTTTCATTTTCTAGCTCTAGAAATGGTTGAGAATGTCATTCTATAACACATGAATAGTAACTTCAGTTCTTCTAAAAAAGGAGATGTGACATACATGACACATGACATGTTACTTATTAGGAAATAGAGATGCGATACGTGTTTCACTAATGAACTCCTGAAATACAACGATTCACATACAGAGTAATCCGTATATCTTGTGTTCATCCTAATTGTAGGGACTATTTATGGAATTTATTCAAAACTCAAATAAAGTAAAGAAGAGAACAATTTCAACCATATTTTTATAGTTTACATTTCAAGATGTGAGCAATAACATCTCAAAATAGACCATCAATGGTATTTTAGATGCCTAGCTAAAATATAGCTTATCGCTCGGAGTTGATAAATGCTACAACATCATCTTTAAACTCTAATCTTTATTTTTTAGCTTTCCGGTTGGCAGTTGGATACCGCTCGGAGTTGACCAAATATAGTTTTTTCCAAGTGTTCTTAGGTTCTTCATTGTTTCAAGCCAATATGAAAGAAGGGTGTCCCAAACGACCTCCCAATGACATAGTTGACGATTTGGAACCTTTGTGCATGGAACCTAAGGTTGGAATGGCGTTTCACAATTATGATTCACTATACCGATTCTAGTACCTTAGTTATGTTTGTCAAGCCGGGTTTCCTATTAGAAAAAGAAGCTCAAGAGAAGCAAGTGATGGGTTGAGGCGTAGTGTGACAATGACATGTGGTAGCGAATGTCAAAGGCGGAGGTGCTCTTAGAATAGTCTAAAGCCTCAACCACCGGCCCGAAGCCTTGAGGTACTATGTGGGCCGTTGGCAAGAGTAGGCCGTTGTAGGGGCTTGATTTGGGCCCTAGCCAATACTCAGAATGAGAACTGGATCTTATAAAAAAAGGAAAGTCTAACTATGATAATCAATGTGTGTGTGTGTGAAATAAAAAAGGAAAGTCTAATTATGATAATTAAAATGTTCTTACACCAAAGGTATACACTAACATTTTGATGGTTCACACTACATAAAGTGTTGGTATGTTAACTTAAAATTTACACTGACACAAAGTGTTGGTGCGTTAAAAAAAATTAATATTATACCAACACAAAATGTTGGTGCACACTTGCGGTGTACAAGTGGAGTACAAATTCTTAGGGTACAAATAGCTTTATCTTACTTATTTTCATCAAAAAAAGTATGTAGTAGTTCATGTATATTTCTATCAACTTTAATTGTTACCTAATACTCTCTTCGTCCCCCATATATCTTCCCATTAGCTCTTTTTATGAGTATGTAAGCATCACTCTATAATGTAAGGTCCTAATATGATCAATTGATCTAAATTCAAATTTGAACGTCTGATTCTCAATTTGGCACCGAAATTGTATTGAAATTCATCAATTTTGATTCAACTTATATATATATATATATATATATATATATATATATATATATATATATATATATATATACATATATAAAATAATAATAAATAATCAAGTAAGTATAGAAATAATTCTAAAAATAATTTAAACTAAGAATAATAGTGCTAAGAGATAATAAAAATCTCACAACAATTTTATTTTGAACCGGATGATAAAATAAAACTTTAGTTTGTATTGTACATACAAATGTTAACTAAGGTTTTATTTTCCATCCGTGTTTGAGGTTAGCGTTTACATCTTTAAAAAACTATCTCATGATTGGCTTTAACATTTTGATTCATATTCATTTTATTTTCTTCTACTCTATCACTTCTATCTCCTCTCTCTCTCTCTTCCTTTTTTTTTTCTTCTCCGGTGCATCTACAACCCACCCCTTCTATTCGTCCTCTTCATTTTCTTCTTGTCTTCTTCTTCTTCTTTTTTCTTTTTCTTCTCTTCGTCTCCTCCAAGTCTAGATCTACGAAACCATATTATCCTCTCTCTCTCTCTCTCCCCCACAGTTGGATGTGGTTATGAGGCCTTGAGGAGATGGTGGGAGTTGAGGGGAGCGGTGGAAAGGGGGCTGTGTATGGTTGCGTTCCTGTGAAAAAGCAGTGAAGGGATGAGGGTATTTTAGACAATTCAAGACCTTAGTTCACCCATCTTAACAATGGAGAAAAGTCGAACCGGAAAGATTAATACTGGACGGAGCGGAGGGAGTAATAAAAATCTCACAACAAATTTTAGTTTGAACCTGATGATAAAATAAAACTTTAATTTGGATTGTACATACTCCGTATAAATTTTAACTAAGGTCATGTTTTCCATCAGCGTTCGAGGTTATGTTAGCATTTTGAAAAAACTATTTTACGATAGTCTTTAATGCCATCGTTGTTTGAACTAAACCATTAAAAAAGTTAATTTAAACCATTAAAATTTGTCCAAAACACTATAATCAAACAACACCTAATTCATTTTGAATATTCAAACAAAACCTAATTCATTTTGAATAAGCTATCTAACCGTTGTCATTAACATTTTGTCAAAATTAATCCCAACTATTAAAATTTTATCTAAAAATATAATTGAAAATATTATTTTCAAATAAAGCCTAATTCATTGAGCTTTTTCCCCATCTCTTGTAGGAAAATCACATTGAATAATGATTTAAATTATACAATTAAATTTACTTCAAGAGATGGGGAAAAATTCTATTACCAAACTTGAATTTAATTGCGTTGCCTAACTTGAATTCCTATATACGGAGTATACTCTTATTTAGTACGGGGTATTACTCTTATTTACGAACTCACAAAAATTATACTTAAATTTTGAAAAGTCACCTTTACTTATCCGTTTGAAATAAACTACTCATTCAGTACCTTCTTAAATTGCACGTTTTCCTTTTTAATTCTTCACAAAATAAGTTATTGTAGTAAATCTTTAAGAGTAAAATACCTAAATTACTCTTAAAATAAGCCACTACTCTCTACATTATCTTCTCATTCATCGCCATCTCCTAAAAAAATAAGGGCATTTTTGGAAAGTCAATGACAATTTTTTCCTTCCTTAAATATGCATTAAATTCAAAACATGCAAGTATACAACATAAAATGGGACGGAAGGAGTAATATTTTAATTTCCTTAAAGTTCTCAATTTCAATTCCTAGTTTGAAATTCGTGTACCAAACCGGGCCAAATCCTTTTTTTTACAATCCCTTAGTAACAGATATTAATATCAGAAGTATGTATACCACGCATAATCTAGAAAGCCGTTAAAGCTCAAAACTTCTAAAGAAAGACTAAAACATAGTGAAAATTCCTAAAATAAGATTTTCGTGTTTTTTCCCGAAAAAAGACTTTGCACTGTGGTAATGTGGCACTGTATATATGCACATTACTATATTTTTTTGAGAATGTACATGACCATATTTGATAATATAAATCATATTTCGGAAATAAAAACATGAAAATCTTATTTTAGTATATTTTTAATATATTAGTTTTATTTTGATCTTTCTCCCAAAAAAAATATAAGGAAAATAAATGAAATGGATTGTATTAAGTATTAACTGAAGTTCTAGAATAAGCTTTTCTAAAACCTCAAATCCTATTATCAAGGTCAAAATGTCCTCTTCCCTAGTTCGAAGCCACCTCCGCCGCCTCTGTACCGCCGCCGCCGCCACCAAACTTGCCGGGAAGCTGTCCATCTCAAAAGCAAAAAACAAGCTTAAACACGAACGTGATCCGGACGTGGCAGTGCAGATATACAAATCCTTCACTTCTTCAAATCACCTTTCGACTTCCCACGCCTCCGTCCGATACGCTCAAGAATCCACCGTCCGCCGCCTCGCGAAGTTCCACCGGTTTTCCGACATCGAGTGTTTCCTCGAGTCGCACAAATCCGATCCCCAGATCAAACAGGAACCATTCCTCTCCTCCCTCATCCGGTGCTATGGGCTTGCGGGAATGCTCGCGAATGCACACAAACTGTTCGATGAAATGTCTGAGCTGGGCACTCCACGCACTTCCCTCTCTTTCAATGCCCTGCTCAATGCTTGTATATCTTCCAAGCTATCGGAACGTGTCCCGGAGTACTTCAAGGAGATCCCAGCTAAATACAAGGTTTCTCCTGATAAATTTTCGTACGGGATATTGATCAAGGCTTATTGCGAGATGGGTTCGCTAGAAATGGCTATGAAAAAGTTAAGGGAGATGGAGGAGAAGGGCATTGAGGTTACGCCAATCGCTTGTACCACGATTTTACACGGGCTGTACAAGAAACAGAGGAACGACGAGGCAGAGAAGTTCTGGAATGAGGTGATGAAGAAAAATGGCAGCTTTGCTGATGTTGGGGCGTATAACGTGAGGCTAATGCACATTCATGAAGGAGATGTGGAGATGGTTGAGGCATTGATTGAAGAAATGCTTGATGCCGGTGTCAAACCAGATGCCATTAGTTACAACTACTTGATCACTTGCTACTGTAAGAAAGGGATGATGGACGAGGCAAAGAAGGTGTACGATGCATTGGGGTCTAAGCGATGCACTCCAAACACGGCTATTTTCAAGACTTTGTTGTTTTACTTGTGCAAACAAGGGCGGTACGCGACAGGATATAAGGTGTTCAAGACCAGTGTGAAGTTGCACAAGATCCCGGACATTGATACGCTGAAGTGTTTGGTGGAAGGGCTGGCAAAGGATGGTCGCAAAGTTGAGGTGAAAGCAATGACCAGAACATTGAATAAGAAGTTGTCTCCTTCTCTTTTGAAGGACTGGGGGAAGTTCATTGAGGATCTTGGCTTTGCACCTATGAAACCCAAGGAGTTTGATTCTGGTGCCAAAGAAGCAGCCGCTAGGCCCTGAGCACTATTTGGGGGAATACAAGGATATAGGGCTTGTTTGGGTAGCGGTAGAGATTAGCGTTAGCGTTTTGGATAAAATTTTAATGGTGCAGATTACTTTGAAAATGCTGACGCTAAACGCTGCTCGTAGATAGCTTTTTCAAAGTGCTAGCGCTAATCTCTAACACTATTTCCAAACAACCCTATAAATGATTCCCAGAACCATATGTCCATCGAGTTGTTCGAAAATCTCAAATCTTCCGCGTCTCAAAGATTCAGGTTTTGCACACGGACAATGACTAGTGGTACTCTAAGACATAGCGGTGTCAAACTTGATGTCACAATTGATGTCTACGTTTAGTTCCTCTTATTATTATCATTAGGATTTTCAGTTGTTTTTTGAACAAGCTGTTTTATTTTGAACAACTCTTTCAATAGAGAACCTATATTATGACACTCAACCCTTCTCTTTCTTTGTATGACAGTTCAGTAGAGAATCTATATGACTAGATCAAAAATGTTTTCTACATCTGCATGCTTAATACTTTTAACACCAAAAAAAAAGAGAAAAAAAACATACATTTTGTGTAATGCATTTCTGTCTGATCCATACAGATGGTTGGGCATAATGCTTTTAGAGTGCTGCAGTCAGGAGGTAACTTGCTATTATTTCTTCTTTGTAGTGTATATTGCTTTGTCTCACTAATATTTAGTAGAGGGTCTAATAGCTCCAATACCCAGGCTAGGAAATGTGCACCAATGCACCATCTGTTTCCAAAACTTATTCATAAATTTATGTGGTTTCGAAAGATAAAGTTTTGGCCATTTTCCGATCTATGTGGTTTCAAAAGATAACTTTCCGGCCATTTTCTGATCGTTTTTTGGCAAAGAGTGGATATAGTACCTACTCGTATTTTTCAAATCACAGGAGGCAACTGAGCTGATTTTCCATTTTCTTTTTATTTTTTTGGGGGTTTTCGTTTTTTTATCTCTTTCTTTTCTTCTCTTTGTTTCCTTCTTTAAAAGGTTTTAATTTTTTAATTTCAAAATTGTTTATGTTCTAGATAAAAATAAACAAAATGATAAAAGGTTGATATTTACTTTATATATCTCAAATAAAACATTTTCTTTTTTTCCAGATAAAAAGAAAAATATTTTTTGGGAAGTTCAAAAAATAAAATAAGGAATCGGAAAAAAATAAATGATATAAAAAAAGGAAAAAAGAGAAAAAAAATAAAAAGATATAAAGATACAAAAGTACTCTTAGAAAGAAAAACATAGTCTTTAGATGTCTAAAAAAATTCTTATAATTGGGATGTCCAAAAAAGGTTAATTTTTTTAATCTTAAAAATAAAAAAATGATTTCTTTCAAAATTTTGAATCTTTTGGGCGCTGATCCAAAAAAAAAAAAAAAAAAAACTTTGCTTCTTAACCCAGGATGTTTAAAAAATGATTTTTTGACATTTCAAAAAAAGAACCTTATCAATGCACTTCATTACTTCAATTTCCCTTTTCTTTAAGAGTATTTTTCATATGTTTTTATTTTCTTTCATTTCATTCGTCTATTTATTTTATTTTAATTAATTTCATTTTCCAATTCCTCGTTTTTTGAAATTTTCAATAAAAAAAACTTTTACTTTTTATTTTGGTAAACAAAAATGTACATTTTTTATTTGAGATAGATGGAGGATATGTTATTTTTTTTTCCATTTCATTTGTACGGAGTATTTAATTTAAACACACAGAATTTTGAGTTTATTAAAAATTATGAAAAAAATTAAAAATAAAAAATATCTATAGAGAAAGAAAGAGACAGAGAAGGAAAAGACTAAAAAAATGAAAAATAAGAAATGATTTGCAGTTTCCCCTATACTTTGGAAAATATACACCGATGCCACTCTCTTTGCCAGAAAACGGGTGAAAAATGATCATAAGGGGGTGAATGTGCAACCTTTTGAAATCACAGAGATTTTATATATAAGTTTTGAATTGACAAACTTTGACCATAAATTAAATAAAAATAGCACTCAATATTAATAATAAATAATTATATTAGAAGTATCTTATAAAATATTTTTAAAATATTATTTTATCCAATTTATATACCACATAATGTTTATTTAACTATATGTGAAAAAGATTCCATTTGAGTGTAGAAAATTAAATGTGGATAAATAATATGAGACAAAGGATAGCTTTTATACTCCAAAAGTGGACAAAAAATTTGAACACTATTCCAACTTCACGAGAATTTTTATTTATTTACATTTTTTTATGGCCTATAAAATATTTTTGTCATCATTTGTTCTGTTAGACTTTTGATGTAATTTTTAAATATGTAAATTTTATTTTTATTTCTATACTAATATTTCAATAAAATAAATTAAAAAAGAGAAATTGTATCAAAGATTCCCAGTTATAGATCATTTTTCATATTTAGTCCCACATCAAGTACTAATAATTTGGTCCTCAATTATTATATTGTTTTCCACGAATAATACTCTGTTAACATTTCTGTTAAGAACATGGACAAAACTAGGGATGTAAACAAATCAAATATTTTAAATTCGATTCGCGATTTGTATTCGAATATGATGATTCGAATTCGCGTTATTCAAATACAAATTCAAATTCAAATATTATTTTTGATTCGAATATTAATCAAATACAAATACAAATAAGGATATATTCGATTCGGATGATATTCGAATATATGTATATATACACAGACCATGTTTTCAACATCAAAAGTCAAGCAAAGTAATATAGTATAAAGTGTATTTAAAATACTAAGAATTCAATAAATTAACGTAACACGAAAATCTAATGCATATGATTTTTAATAGTTATATTTTATAAAATATAATTTGTGTAAGATGCAGATGTATTAATGTTTTTATATACGGAATATAGTATAGTATAAAGAGTATCGTAAGTTAAATTACAAATTGATGTTGGTCCATCATATAAATTACATAGTATGATTATTCAAATATTCGTTTATGATTCGATAACTATTCGAATATTAATCAAATACTTATTCAAATCTTATTTTGAATTCGTCTCATATTCGGATTCGGATTCGTATTCGAAAAAATTAAACAAATACAAATTCAAATATATCGGTATTCGCTTCGATTCAGTTCGTTTACACCCCTAAACAAAACTATAAATTCACACTCCTCGCTCCTCAATTAAGCTTCATCCCTCCTTTCTTACTTATTTCCAAACTCAACGCTAAGTTTGAAGCTCTGAACCCAAAATCGAAATCATCACTCCTCTTTCAATTGTTCGTCTTCCTTGTAGAAACCAAAATTGAATTCAATAACTTTCATGGATGAGTTTCAAGGGTTAGTCTCAAGAAATTAGAAAGAAAAAAAAACCTTGAAACTCTCCATGAAGGTTACTAGCTTCGATTTTGGATTCACCAGGAAGACGAACAATTGAGGGATGAGTGAGTGTTTCGGTTTGAGTCAGAGCTTCAAACTTAGGGACGAATTTGAGATAGAGTACGAGAGGAGGGAGAAAAGTTAATTGAGGAGAGATGAGTGAATTAACAATTTTATCCATATTCTCAACGAGAATGTTAACAGATGACCATTCGTAGAAAATAATATAATAATTGAAGATTAAATTATTGATATTTGATATGAGAGAATTAAATATAAAAAACTACTTGAATGAAGAGAGTAAATGATTTGACTATGCCCTACGGAGTATTTGTTGAGGGATCGTAAAAAAAATGTTTCAAAACATTTGAATAGGTACTCCGCATCTTCATTCCATCATAGTAATCAATTTGAATAATGGTTCAAATTATGCAATTTAATTTTTAAGATGGAATGAAGATGCAGAGGACTGCATTCTAAACATTCAATTCAACCTAATAGTTCGGCGATGGTTTGCATCTTTGAGCCGATGATTAAGAAGAAGAGCACTGTTATAATTACGGTGTGGGATCAAGGCCAAGAATGCACACAAACTGTTCGATGAAATGTCTGTCATTGGGCACTCCACGCCTTTCCCTGTTTTTCGATCACTTTGGTGATTTTAGTGTCATTTGCAGGTTTATGTAATTCAATTTTACTCCGTGAAATTTTACTTTGGACTTTGCTTTATAAAAATACGTTGGATTTTCGTAAGCGGAGCCAAAATGATGAAACATTCAAATGTTAGAATTCATACATTCGAACTAACTTCCAGCAATCTTTGTGATTGAAAACATACATTCGAATGCTTCGCGATAAGACGCGATGCTTAGCAGTAACTTACTAACTTGTGCGCACATTCGAATGTTCTGACCAAACATTCGAATGATCTGCAAAAAGTTGTGTTGTTTCGGCAACAGACACGCCCGAATAGTTTGTGCTCCATATATATGGAGTCCCAAGGTATGTTTGAGATAAGATGGAACTTTCCTAATCGTTCTAGATGCCAATATCTTATCCGATTCAAGTATTTGGGTATACGCCGAAACAATTTTAATCTAAAAGCGGTCACTTGCTTCGGTTAATCCATCAAGTTTCTTCATATTCGTTCATATGCCGTTCCAGCGTTATCGCCCCTCCCGGATTTCAACATGTGCATGCTTTATTAAAAAGATAAAAAACCCATACATTTTGTGTAATGGTTTTTTGTTTGATCTATTAAAGAAGCAAGATTAGCTAGCTGCGGTCGTCCGAAAAACTCTGGTGTACCAAATGGAATGGAGTATCATATGAAAGACATCATACTTCTGTGGGGTGGGGTTATGCCAAAGGAAATGTCTTTGAACATGCCCAACTCTCTCATGCATCTCCCTGTACCTCTTTTCAGGTATTGATTCAAGCAGTCTCTTGAGTTCCGGAATCTCCTTCTCGGGCACGAAAACCGCAAAGGATTCCCAGTTCAACGTCTCAAGGAACGGGGCAACGAAGTTGTCGGACACGATCACCGGGACGCACTCGTAGGAAAGCGCCTCGACGACCCTCGGGCTGTTGACTTCGTACCCTCTGGCGCAGATGCAGTATCTGCTGTTCTTCATGTGCTTCGCGTAGTCTTTCCTGTTCATGCGACCAAAGATCTTCATGTCTGGGTCTTTGTTCTCCCAGTGTTTCAGGAGTGTGGGCCGGAGGTCGCCGTGCATTTTCCCTGCAAAGAATGCAAGAAAGCTCCGTTTGGAAGGAGGGTTCCCTCCCAGATTCTTCAGTGGGTCTTGGGCAAAATGCATGTAAGTTTCTGGGAGGGAGATGTCCTTTCCGAACTGGAAGCCCTCTCTGAGATCGGCATTGCAGAGAGATCTTATGCAGTTTGCCATGTGCCACCTTGTTTCTTCTGCAGCCTGCCTGACAAG